TTGGAAAAGCCTCCATATCAATTGGAAGGGCAGAACAAATGCCAGTATTCTAACTCAAGCAAACACCACCAGCACTGAAGCCATGTTTATATGGCACCAGCTCTGTTGGACAGGACAAGTTATAAAGATGCCCGACAGCTGGCTACTGAAACAGGTACTATACTCCCAACTTGCCAGTCGTCGGTGCTCTAGAGGTGGGCAACAGAAAAAAATCAAGGACACCTTGAATACCAACCTGAAAAAATACAATATTAACATCAGTACCTGGGAGACTTGAGCACTGAATTATCTCTAGTCACGTCACAGAATAAGACACGGTAAACTATTTTGAGAAAACTCACCTCACTATGAAAGCAAATAGTCAAGAGAGAAAAAGAGAAAGAGTTGTTACCTGACATCACCAGGATCCACTCCTTGTAGAACTGTATGCCATGTTTGAAGTTGGACATACAGATCTCGGGTTGGTCTCTTCAGTCATCTCTGGACTTACTGATAACTTCCCTGACTACTGGAAGACTATCATTCTTGTATCAAGGGACTGCCACAGCCACCAAGGTTATAGCTGTCAGCTGATAGTGTGAGAGGTGTTTTTAAATATAATGCAGCATCAAGTGAGGAAGATAAATGGTGGCAAATGGTGGCCACCCTTAGTTATTATCCTTAAAAAATATGAAAGTCATTGTGGATTTTATGTTTCTTCCTCTCCTTCCCCTTCTCATGTACACACAAATCTACTCCCTCACCTCCCCAACACCAAAGTCTAGCACAAAAGTATTCAGGAGTAACTGTTGTGGCAGGCTTGCTGGGCTTTGCCCAGCTCTCCAGGCTTAGGAAACTGTGAATGTGATTAGCGGGGCAAAACCCACCAATCAGAGACAGGCTCCCCCTCTACTCCAAAGGGCAGGAGCAAAAGTGGACTTAATTGGGAACTGCAGTTGCAGACCCCCTAAGTGTTTCATTTTCAATCTGGGGGTGGAGACCCAGAAGGGGATATAGGCAGCTGCATGCCAAGCATGCAGTACAGTCAGCAAACGATGAAGAAGAAGGAAGAGGTCCCGGGGCCAAGAAGAGCTGGGAGGGCTTCCCAGAGGAGCTGAAAAGTTTCTACCCCTGGAGAGAAGTGGTGGACAGTGTGGGCATCACTGCATGGAGGGTCCCTGGGAGACACAGCAAGGCATCTCAGGTCTCCAACCCTGGCACAAGGCCAGACTGCGGTACAGATGTCACTGAACTAAGGGTCTGTGAGGGACCAGGACCCTGGGGGCAGCAAGGCAGCAAGGCAGCTCGGGGCTCCAACCCCAGCACGAGGCCAGGCTGCCATGCAGGCATAGCAGCACGGAGGGTCTGCAAGGGACCAAGATCCTGGGTGCCGCAGTGAGGCGGCTTGGCTCTCCAATCACAGCATGAGTCTGGGTGTGGGAGCCAGCACTACCCAGGGGTGAATCATTGTGGGGTGATGCAGTCTGGGACCCATTCCCTGCAGTCAGTCCACAAGGGTCCTGGGAACAGAGCAGCATTCAGAGCAGCATAGTCCTGGGCTGGCACAAGGTGGCCCAGGCCTGCAACTCCCCCTGAGAAGGACTGAGCCACTGGGACATGTAAGCAAGTCATGCCACCCCCCTGAGGCCTGGAACTGAGCTCTCTCTTGGGGAAACATTAGTCAGACCAGGGAGCTTATGAACACTGCTCCACCCGGCTCCTTGGGACATGAGTTAGTGGGACAACAGGTCTCCCACCAGGGAGTGACATTCAGGGAAAGGTAACCTCAATAAAGAGGCAGGAGGGAAAGACCCTCCCCTAGAGGAGAGGAACCAATAGAGAACTCTTGAATCTCATATTTTGGAGTTTTTATTGATTGTTTGAACAATGCTGTGCATTTTTGGAGTGTTTATTAACTATTAACTGTATGCCTTGTATTTTATGAGTGCCATTTATTATTGTACTTATCTGCTCATACCATTTGGAACCATCATGCTTACCTGTTTGTATTTGGGTGTGTATATAGTTATATATATATTTATATTATATATGGGTGTGTGTAACCTGTAAATACTCACTGTAGTTCACTACCTTTTATATACATATATTAAATTTGTACCTGTTTAAGACATCACTTTCTGTTCCTCCTCTATTGAGACAGAATAGGTGGGAGGGAACTGTGAGTAGACTGCAGTTTCAACCCCCAGCACGTGTGCCCTGCTGGCTTTCCCCTTCTATTGGTAAGGGGGGACACTCACTCTGGGGACATCCAAATTACATGGTGATTTTTATAGACATGACATACCATGCAGGCCTGGGCCACCTTCCTGTAGTTTTAGAAGATCAAAGAGAGAAAGGAGGAAGAAAAAGAAGTGCAGGGAGTAAAGAGTCAGAAGCTGATATTTGCAAAAGCAACTTGTCTAGGAACTATCCGTCTCTGATGTCATCACCCTTTCTACAATTTCCACTGTTTTGCTGCAAACATTGACAATATTTTTGTTGCACTAATATAATAAATCAGAGGGAGATACCCAGTACAAAAATCCCAACCTCCAAAATGGCTAAAAATGGTAAACAATTGAAAAGAAAGTGTTGTAATGGAAAATGTTTGAAAACTAAGAACCACTATCAGTGCTGTTTATGATATAGAGTTGTATATATCTGGGGTGACCAGCCATCCTGAGCAGCACTGGACACTCTGGGATTCCATAGACAGGTCCAGTAAGTTGGTCAAGAGTCCTGGGCTGGAATCCAGTGGGAAGGTGGGATAGCATAGAGTGTCAGGGCAGGCAGCTGGACAGGCACTACTGCTGCTGTGTGGGAGCAAGGCAGGCAGATTGGAGCAGGCAACACCCTGCCCACATATGGCATGTCCTTACTCCTGCACAGAAGCAGTGGTGCCTGCCCAGCCACCTGCCTGGTGCACCATGCCACTCCACCTCCCCACCGGACTCCAGTTCAGGGATTTTGACCAATTGGCCACAACCCAGATACAGAATCCTGGAGTGTCCAGTGCTGCCTAGGACCCATGGTCATGCTGTATATATCATCATTTATATTTCACCATTTTCATATGATTATACCAACATTTATTTGCAAAATGCATCAACCCTTCTTATATGCAATGGCCAAAACTTAGGTTTCTCCTGATATAGACTGTTGCTGATTATGTCTAGTTTGCAAGTGAACAAATTATTTGCTGATGAGTCAGCTAGTCTAAGTTAATTAATCTTGAGACATAAATTCTCCTTCTTTACAATCCCATAGATGAACGATAAGCATCTTATCCATTGTACCCTGCAATTCCTCACAGTATTTTTTAATGCTTTGTATGCTTGTCAGAATATGACCATTGGTCTTTTTGTTGTGGTTCTATTTTTACAAATTTCAGCTATCATATTCTTTTGAGGGAAATGAGTACCCAGAGAATTAGAGCTTCGCTTCAGGAACCTGGTGCACTATTGTAATTGAGAAGAAACTGATACTAAAAAGATTCCTTTGAGTTACATTATTATAATGCACACTATTTATAATGCATTATAGCAAATATCCTAGAGTTTGAGGGAAAAAAACATTAGTCTAATTTTATATATGTAAATCAATGCGTCTTGAACCTGAATTAAGATTAGTGCGTGTGGCCCACCAGAGGCAGATTTTAATTACAGTGCAACCTTGGGAAAGTCACATGAAGATATACTCATAAGTGATACCACAGTGTTTTACATGTAAGAGCCTTGACTGGGTATAAAGTAAGACAAACTGGGCACATCTAAACGAGTCTAATAACACTGCATAGTAGTATGCTGGGCAAAAACCATGCTAATACACTACTGTGCAGTAATATTAGGCTACTGTGCAGGACACTGGCACTACTGTACAATAGTGCAAGTTACTGTGCACGTAGTTAGTACTTCATTAAGCAAGTACTATATTGAATGCACAGTAACTGCAGGTTTCCCTCAATTTATGCGGTATGTGTGTTCCCAGAGAACGGTGCATAAAGCAAACCCACTTTATAATGTAACAAATAGTGATATGTTCCCAGGGCAGTGAGGGAAGGAAGGAGGGAGGCTGGGACTAGGGAAAGAATGGGGAGAGGGGCATGGTGCAGCTTGTCAGCATCTCCCAGGGCTGCAGCAGGCAGCAAAGTGGTGGGAACTGTGAGTGCATGCAGGGTGCGGGATGGGGGGGCATGACTCTTACTTCTACACACCACCTGGGAGGGCTGCAGGCTGCGGGGCTGCACTAGGCTCTTCCTGAGGCGGCGCAGGCCCCTGGATCAGTGTGTGGGACAACAGCAGGCTGCTGTTGCAGACTGGAGCTGACAGCCCCACCGGAGTCTCCCCAGCACTCAATGGGCAGGTTGGTGGGGCTACTGTGAATTTTGGAGTGACACTGGAAGCCCCCCTTCCCAGTGCCCCCTCATTCCTGCAAGCAAGGCCAGGCTCTTCCTGGCACTCCAGGCAGGCAGTGGCAGCAGCGCTGTGAGGGGAGCTACTGCCACCCCAAAAATCACTGTAGCTCCCCGCAACCTGCCTGCTGAGTACTGTGGTGAGCCAAGTGGTACCACCAGCCCCAGCCTGCAGCAGCAGCCTGCTGTTGTCTCATGTGCAGATCTGGGGGCCCGTGGCCCCCCACCTTGGAAGAGCCCGGCACAGTCCCCCAGCCTGTAGCCTTCCTGGGGGGCACGTAGCAGCAAGAGCTGTGCCACCACACCCCTGTTCTGAACCCCAGACCCACTCACAGTTCCTGCCATCTTGCTGCCTGCTGCAGCCTGGGGCCTCTGCTTCTCCCTGATCACCCCAGTCCCTGCTGCAACAGCCACAGGAGCAGCCAGCACCGACTGCCTATAACCGCTGGGCTACTGTGCCCCGAACCTCCTGGGGCTCCGTTTCTCCCCACTCACCCCAGCTGCTGCAGCAGACCTGGGAGCAGCCAACACCACCTGCCTGCACCATGGCACCCATATAAATTGAAGAAAACCTATACTGTGCATTAATGAACTTGTAGACATACCCACTGGGTGCATCTACCTATGCACTTTACTGTGGTTGACTAATTAGCTCCACAGTAAAGAATTACTGTCTACATATGTGTCTCTATTAGGGACCAGTTAATTAATTAACTCCACTGTAGGATACTGTCCAGGACTAGTACTATCCTACAGCAGAGTTATTTAGCACACTGAAAAGCACATGTAGATGGTGACAGGGACGGACTGTGCTACAATGTAAGAGCTGTCTGCCAGCTAGCCTGCACTGTAGCACCCTCTGGCCAGCCAATCCTTCCACAGCACATTAAGTCAGGGCAGAGCATCTCTGGGTTGGCAGGCTGATACCCTGGGCTCCCTACCAGCCGAGGCTGCTCCACCCCAGCTCAACATGTTGTGGTCCCAGGTGCACATGTAAATACTGCTTCTAGCGTGAACTGTGCCAGAGTTCATTGCTACATGCTAATTGCGTAGAGGCAAATACACACAGGTAAAAATAAATATTTTTTATACTTGCCTTTTATTAGGCCCTTTAGACACCATCAGCTGCTATGATTACAGGGTAATATAGTATAGAAAGCTAGTGCAAGTGCCAGTAGTAGCCCAGGTGTGGAAACACAGAGCTCAGTGCAGGCTAACTATTGTGAGACTTTCCCTATCTGGGTAATTTACTGGGTGTTGACAGTGTCTGTAGTATAGGTCTACAAGCTGTAGTATAGGCCTGAAGCTTAGTACAGCAACTGCACAAATGCGGTAAACATATCCAGCTAGGTTTGTTAGGAAGCTGTGGGGATTCACCCAAATCCTGGGAATGAAAGAGGAACACAGTAATAGGTGTCTATTTGTTTGAAAACGACTCAGCAGATTAACAACATTTCTTTATTCTTCTCCATAAAATAATACTAAAAGAAAAGCAAATGACCTTTTCAGAATGGAGTAATAGGTCTTATAATGTTCCTAACAAATGCAAAGGCTTTCTTTACAGCAGTCAGTAAGTAAAACACATCAAGGTGATAGGCATTTGGCATGGTCGGATTATAGCAAGCTCCCAAAAAGCAGCACTAGTTCTACTGCATGCCATTCTGTGGCTGCAAAGAGGGTGGTGCATCATTAGAATATGCTGGAGCTGGGTTCTGCACTAGGTCCCTCTACACTAGCATAGAACAGGTGTAGTATACAGTCAATAAATACTGGTAATTTAAACAGCAATTATACAAATCCTGTACCAGAAAACCAGCAACTGTTCTCTGGAATGCAAACCAGAGATGTAGCAAAATATTTCAGTGCCTGGAGCAGAGGTAGGGAGAATAGTGCTGACCACTGGAAAGCAGTGGAGGGGGAGAGGGAACAGAAAGCACTCTGTACGTTTGGCTGCTGTAGCTAAGGAACAAGCTTGCTGCACACTGAGGCAGAAGCTGGGTCAGCGTGGATTCTCTGAGGCCCTTCCTAGTGCCCTGCCTGCTTCCTCCCCCGCCATGCTTCTGAGTACAGGGTTGCACCTCCCACAGCAAAGCCTGGAGCGGGGCATCTGCCACTTGCCTCATTCATCCCCATCCCCTACACTCTGGGGCCTGGGGCTGCACTTGCCTGGCTCTCTATGACCAGGCTGAACATGGCTGCCCCTCCTGTGGAAGACACTGGGGGTGGTGGGGGGCATACCAGCATCCCCTCTAAGTCAGCACTTAGGGCTGGTGCCCATCTCACTCCACCCTAAATACACTTATGGTGTAACCTATATTCCAAAGCAAGTAGTGCAATATTGTCTGAAGATAGCTCTGCTTATTTCTTATTTAATACTTCCCTATCAAACATCAATTCAAGAAGCCAGGCTGCTTAATTTCAACAATTCTGAGTGAACACATGGATTAAGGTCAGAAGTTGAGTGTATGAAAATCTTTCAAAGAAGATAATCATTCTGAGGTTATTAAATGCTCCTTTTAATTTTTTTTAGGAGGGACTTTATGTATGAATTTTGTACTTAAATATAAATGTTCATTATTCTTTTGTCTTTTTGAATTACATTTACATGAAAATTTGATAAAATAGGTACAAGTCAGTTGAAATTTTTGACTGTTAACTGTTCTCCTTTTTTCCCCTCCTCTGGAGCCTGTCAGCTTTATCCTAAATTGTTTCTAGTTCTCATTATCAAAAAAAAAACAGGTTGTGTCGGAGGCCATAGGCACTCTTGGAGGAGGATGACATGGTGGGGACAGACTGTATCTGTATAGTTCAGTGTCCTGCAAACAGTATAGCCTTGTCAGTGTAAAGCTCTGCCTAGAGAACTTTGCTTTATTGAGAAAAAACACATTATGAAATACCTTAAAGTAATGTATTACAGGAAAATGTAATGACTCTGCATCTGGAGCAAAAAGAATGACCTCTTACTAACTTGTTGTTAGATAGCCAAGTCCCAGAGAAGGCAGTGCTTAGCACCTGCTCCTCTCCTCAATGTATCCTATTTGCTACTTATTAGGCAGCTTCCTGCTTAATGTGTTGGTTTTTTTATAGATACAGTGAGACTAGTGAGGGCTTGATTTACAGTGAATTAGTTACTCCATGCTAGCAGTTACTACAGTGAATTAGTAACTGCCAGCATAAATCTTCTTACCCCGTGATAATTGTGAGGTAGTCGGTTTCCTAATGAAAGCCTTAACATTAGGCACATAAGAAGTGTATATAGACTCTCGACATGCAACTCAGGGTTACTAATTGTACAACATGACTCCTTAGAATGAGGCATTTCAATGGTGAACCTAAGTTCTCTTTGCTGATTTAAACTAGAGTAAGACTATTTTCCCCTCCACTTATCCCCAAATATAATGCTTCTAAGATACTATAACGTGATCCCACACACAAACAGCTACAACAAAAACATATAATCAACTGGATTTCAAAGACCATTTGTTTCTCATTTTTAAGATACAATCACTTGCTTTACAATTGAAATATTTTCTGAGGGTAATTGTATGTTCTCCTTCTTGGCCAGTTTTTCCCGGGGCAAAATCAATATGTAAATCAAAGTCCTCTAATGAAGTAACAACCAAACTACAAGGAACACAACAAATTAGTAGTATTTTGATGGCATTACAAATCAGTGATTTCAGCAGTCTATTCAGTCCAAATTGAACTATGAGCCAAGGAACACTCTACTCTGTTTTAAAGGTCTTTATAAGGAGGTACCCTACCCAACAGCCTGAAACCCAGATGTAGGCAGTCAGCCTGGCTGGAAGCAGCTGCAACTAATAAATGAATTAGAGTGGAGCCACAAAGAGGCTTAAAAGCTCCAGGAGCAGAAAGCAAAGAAAGAGAAGGTTGTAGTACTGAGGGAATGCAATATAGAACTTGAGTTGTTTTCCTAGGGTCTAAGGAAAGATTGGTTTATTTTTTATCTTTGTTTTGTTTCTTTGGAGATAAGTCATTTCCATGAGAAGTAAATAGGCTAAAAACCTAGAGGCAGAGCCAACTGGCCTTGAGAAGGAAGCTGAGAGAGTGGTCCAGTAGTGTAATTAGGATGGGGTGACTGGGGTAGGGGGTGCATGTGAAAAAAAAAAAAAAAAAAAAAAACACATCAAACA